CCAGCTTCATCAAAGGCTACTGAAAAGGGATGACAGGGAAATGATAGTCAAGGATTTCCTCCACATATGTAAACTTATGTGAAGTCAAGATTATCACTAGATTGACTATTAAATTCACTTCTTAATTTTTAATAAGCAATATGATTTCTCTCCCTGGAAACAAAGTGCAGATGTAATGGAACTTTACTAGGATGTCAAGGGACATACAGCTCGTATTATTTCCCATAGCCTTCATATCCCACACATTGGTGGACATCATTCTGAAACGTTTTCTTGGAAGAAGGTAAAGGAGATACATATACACTCCTTTAAACAAAATTATTATCACAGGCACAAAAGATCAGTTTTGGTAAATTTATTTTAAATGACAACTAAAAATATTCTGACCAGTTTGCATGTATTCTTCTCTGTGTGATTTACATTCTTTGTTTAAAATATGATTGGTCAAATATATTAAGAAGAAGTGAATTTGTTTATTTAGATTTAATGTGTACAGTTGCATCCTTGAAAAAGTAAGAAAGAGCCGATTAATTTCCCACTAATTATCTTTAAAATATATACGTTGGCTACTGGAAAATGTGTAGTGATTTTAAGGGAAGTTTTCCATTCTTCCATTTGTTTCGGTTTGAACAAATGTATCTATTCTCCAGATTTTTATTGGTAAAGATAAAATTCAAAAGCAGGCTATATAGAACAAACCTTAAAAGATAATCACTATATTTTTTTTGCTGTAGGCATTTCCTAAGAGACATATCTAAAATCAAGGTCTTCCATGTCATAAGAGTTTGGAGTGTCACATACTTGGGTGACCTGTAAAGGAAAAAATCTAAGGAAAAGGAGTACAACATTGAGTTTTAACACACCACGTGTATTGTGCTGTGCGTGTGTGTGTGTGATTGTGCAAGCCCTTACATTTAAATTTATTTCAGAAAGATCAATGTAAAGTGTAACAAGGCTGTATGAGTGGTTTATCAGACATCTAAATATATTAAAAACAAGTTAAGAAAATGTGAATTTTTTTCCCTTCTATTTCAGTTTTGTAAACAACTATATGGAATCTGTATAACTTTAAAAACCAACACAATTTAAAGAGCTGTACTGTTTTTGATTGAGGTTTTCAACATTCTGTGTTGTTTTATTAAATACTTAGGAATTCAGATGTTGCCCTCAATGAAGATAAATTATAGATGGGAGAATTAATGCTACTCAGGATGCTGCTGGAGGAGCCAACAGATACTAATTTGTTAAAAACAGAAATTACAACCAAAATTAAGTAAGTAACCTCTGCATTTTTTTGGTCTATTGTGTCCCCCAAAGACAGGATTATTTCCAACTATAATGTGAATAGTGTCTCCAGAGAATTTATTCACTATTAATTGGAGAGTTCATGTTCAGAAGTTTGAGATGCAAATAATTGATAATATCAGTAAATATGCTGTGTATCCAATGAGAGTGTGTCACAGCTTCTGTGAGAGGAGAACAGCTTCAAGGTCTCATGCCTTCTCTGCAGAACCCTTTGCTCTGGCTTCAGTAAAAGTTCACAGTTTAAAAATCTGTGGCAAATACTCAAAAATCTGGGGCAAATTTTGATGCTCAAGCTTTGAAATTAGATATTTTCTTGGCCATCCCTTCTTCTTTATTACCTGGCCTAGGTAAATTTACTTTAACAACAATCACAAAAGGGATCCTGTCTATTTCTCCATGGAAATTAAGTGGAATATTATAAATGTAAGTCATTCACAGGTTGATATACAGATTCCAATAATTTTGAAGTCTTACAGCCATTTTCTTTCCAAAGGGCTATGTTACTGGATGACAAATAATGAGGTAAAGTCTGAGTTGGAATGATTGGATAACATTCCATCCAATTTGAAAGGGAAATCATAGATGAACTAGATCATCCTCCTTATTTGACAGATGGGGTCATGGAGCTACTATTATGCATACATAAATCAGAAGCTTTCACAAAGACAACTTCCAATATAAAGGTTTTCTAATTCATTTCCAACAAGAATTATTTGCTGTCGCATCATTAATGCTTTCATAGGCAACAATACACATGCAATCAATACAGGTTTTTATGACAAAAAGTTATCAAAGTACTAGAGGCCTAGTACTTTTAAGTCTGGTCATCTCTGCTAGTATCTTCACTGGGTATCCAACATTAACATGTGGTCTCCCCACCACCATTCTGCCCTTACCACAACTCCTTACTAGAGTTCAGTGGGCACTAGAAGTCAGACACCTGTTTAGGCCCCTTTTAGAGATCTAATGGTTAAATTTGTAAAAAAATATATTTGAAATTATACACTATAGGGACAGTAATCATATATACCCATAGTTTAATCTTCATTTCTAAGAGAGAATCTAGCAGACATTCTACTCCAGGGTCTTTTGAATTTTCCAACCCGAGGATATTTCTGCTTACCTTAGAAAGAGAAAAAACTAGAAAATGCCTGTATTACCTAAACATTGCCAAGTTGGCTGATTTCTAAATGATATTATTTCGTTGGCATTCCATGAGGCAATCACTTTAATATTTGTCAAATGAACCAAAAATAAAGCCACCAAAATAATCAAACTAAATGTAATATACATATATATTTTATACATACATATATACTTATATATGTATGTATGTGTGTGTGTAGTCACAGTAGGAAACAGATTATTATGAGAGAATGATGTTGATCTTAAGGAATGAATTTCTTCCTTTACCCTCACTATTTCTTTAAAAGGGAAAGAAAGAATAAAAGAGGAAGAGATAAAGCTTATTTAAAGGCCTCATTTCCCATGACATATTGGGATGCATTTAAAATTGAGAACAGCCCAGAAACATTGTGCTGGTCTTTCTTGGATGAAGACTGAATTTCTGTAGACTAAAGTACAAACAGAGTACAGACATGCTATCATTGAATACAGTGTACTGAATCTATACAATTGAATAATAATTTAAAAAGTATTCTTTATATATAAAATGTTTCCTGGATACCAAAAGCTCAAATAAAAACCCCACCCCTCCTGCTGTGTTCCTAGGTATACTATAGACTCATTTGGGAAGTTTTTCATAGCACTTGTCTAAGGGCAATATTTTCTGGTTTACAGGGCTGGAATCAAAGGAGTCACCATCCCCCCTCACTTAGGGAGTCATGGTTTCCTATAGCACCATACTGCAAGGTAAGGTGAGTGACTGCTGCATACGTCAAGCATATTCTGGTGGAGACCTGGTTATTGAGAGCTTTAGCTACAGTCGCCAAAAGCCCCACTCAAATTGTAGCTGTCAGTCAATTCAGAAGCCAGTGATCATTCTCTGGAAATCTGCTTGGCCCTTCTGTTCTCTTTTTGGTAGGCCTGATATGTTATGATCAAAACAGGGTAATTGTGGAGTCCTGAAAATAGCACTGTTTCTCCTCCAGAGGACCTTGTTATTGCTGCTTGGAAATAATGTAAATCATTGGAGATTTGATCTATCTACAAATATTTAGTCCTACACCCATAGCAAGGTAGATATTGGACAAGAGTGTAAAACATAGAGCACTTAATGTGCATACAAAAATCAGAGAATTTAGATGCCAATTCTCCAACATAATTTCCACTATTTCTCATTAGCATAAAATTGTTCATATATTTTGAACAACAGCATTCTATAGAAGTCACTGGCAAATCAGAATAACACACACTTTATAAAAAAAGACATCAGAAGATGATGCAGAGTGAAAAATAATGAGTGACATCCATTCTCCAGTGAGTAATGAATACGCAACTAACTTAATTACCAAATCTCCAAATACCTATTCACATAAGAAATACAGGGAAAATGAAGCAAAATCAGAAGTGTCTTGTAGAAATAAACACTTCCCTGTAGGCACATGAACTTGAAGGACAAGGTATCGATGTCTCCAGGTGTTGGCCACGTTAGATCAATTCTGAAAGTCTTGATGCTATCAGCACTTGTCTGCTGGTGCCCAAAGAGGTGCTTTTTGAGTGTGGACCCTTTTCACAGGAGAGCTTCACATTCCAAAAGGAGACAAATGGCCACTGAAAGTGACCATTAATAACTGTTCTTTACGGAGGAGTTTTGTCTCTACTATCAATTTGGACATAACTTTATCTCTAAACTTTACATCGGGCCGCCAGTGGATGTGTGTAACTTTCATACATTTTAGAACGCACGAGGCTGTTTATAATCACATAATATATAGTTCAACTTTAAAAAAAAAAAAATAAGGGGTCAGATCAGGACTTAAGTTTGATTGACAACCTTCGATCTCCTTAGAGCAAAAGATATATTAATATAACTGCAGTGGAAGATGTTAAAAAAGAAATAACTGCAGTGAGTCACAAAATACACAAACTCCTAATTAGGTGGATCCTGTATGAATCCGTTTAGATATGCAACAGGTAGCATTTTAGTGAAAAACCCAGGACAAGGTTGACTTGGGAGGACTTCCAGTGAACGTTTGATAATTGTGATAAATTTCAACACAATAGCATATCGAATATGCAAGTTATGGGGTTTTTATACACCAGTTAATTAAAACCATTTTTCTAAAATTTTCCCAATGATATACTATTTCTAAATGAGAATTTAGATAATTGAGACATTAAAAAGTTGTAATAATCCTTTTTAAGAGTCTAGTATTATTACCTCTATATTCAAAACAAAGGAACAATAGTGGGACAACTAAGGAACACCATGAAGCTTTTGTTAAATATAAAATGCATTTCTACCAAAATGTTTTCAACATTTGAGACTTTTGAATTTCCACTAAACAGTGTTGATAAGAACACAATGTTCTTTATTTTCCCTGTATGGCATTATGTCTATTTATGTCTATTATCAAAGAAAGAATGTTCTCAGAGAGCAATCTGCAATGTATTTTACACAGAAACAGCGTAACCTTAATTAAGAATTGTGTATATTCAATATTTGATTCAGAAATAGTTAGTTACATTCCTTTTCAGTGGAATGTGAGTCTTCCACAGGAAGTTTTAATCAAGGTTTTCCCAAACTTCAGTAAAAGAAATCTTTTATATACTTTCAAATACTATGCCTTTTTATTTAAAACAGTGCAAACATAACAACTCAACACCACCAATAATTGGAAAAAGACTGGTTATGTGAACACTAATGTCCTTGAATGCCCCGTGAAAGTAAGGCTAAATAAAACAGACAAATCTTTAGAAGTTTCAGTTCACCTTAGCAGTGGTAAAAATATTGCTTTATTCCAAATGAACATACAACACAATTTACTGTTCTTTGGGGGGCTTCCTGTGAACTGAATAGGCTGGGTTTTGTAATTTCAACAATTTATTCTTTCCATATTAACCACAGAAGCCAATGTCTTGGTCCACGCGTAGTAGACTTGCTACAAAAAGTAATGAGGAAGATGAGAAAACAAAGGGTAACTAACTATCAATTTGATCATTGGCTTGTATAAATAATTTAAGTACGCATGATTCAAAATACACATCCCCAACTCGCCTTGTGATACTGATATCATTAATGAGCCAATAGCTGTTCCTCTCAAAAATATTCACATCAGAAAATAGTCTAGACATTGTCAAGAGTTTTATAGGACCCCACCATGCACGTGACCTTGATTTACTAACTGAACTTTATACTTAATGGAAAAATTTAAAGCGAACAGATCTAAGAGGGAAATTTTTTCTGAATATTAGATTCCCTGATGTTTCAGAACAAATTTTAGCAAGCTTAACGCACACACATGCACACACATACGCACGATGAACATATGTGCATACAGCATACCGGTGCTCGAGTGAGCAAGCCCAGACACACAGGCACACACACTGAGAAGTGCTCCTTTGGAGCCCCTAAACGATCTCAAACGAAAACATTTCTATTAGCTATTAGCATGATTTTAGTGACACGACAGTGTGATGTTTTTTGTCTCTTTTTCTGCAATAATTTCTTACCTCCCTCTGAGATTCTGTGCCTTCAAATTTCAGAGGAAGCTGGCACGTAAGAGTGGCTAAGATTGCCCCATGACTCCCTCTGTCTCCTGTCCCTCTCCTTCCAGAGTCTTTGTGCCATTCTTCAAAAAGTAAATAGAAAACACTACATTTGTTGACGTGACATAACCTGTGATGAGGCTGTCGAGTGAATAGAAATTTAGGGATTGGCAAGCCAAATGGCAAGGGCCACCTGCTCACTGGCATGCCCACCCTTGGGATACGTCTCTTCTCTTTGAAACCGGGTAACTGCCAGCACTTTTTCATGAGGTCACCGGCACTGTGGGGCTGAGAGTCTGAATCGCCCACGTCTACTGAGAGCCAAAGAGGAGAGTGTTGGGACTAAATGAAATTGTATTCAAAATTCTACCCAAAAGCTTTAGTGGTAAGCTTTATCCCTCCTGAAACGTTTCTTTCCCTTTAAAAAAATATTTTGTTAAAAAACACTATGAGGGTGATAGACTATTTGGTTTCTTCTAAGTAGATGCTCTTAAATTAATGCATATAAATCATTTGTATTTAATCTCCTCTCTTTCCTGTTGAGCAAAGCATAGAATGCACAGATTCTTACATCTCAGGTCACTTGGTCAATGCAGGGTCTCTTTGTATTTCATTTCTTAAGACAAATCGGGCCTCTCGTTCTGATTTGGCTGTGGAACTCAGGGGGAGAAAGGCTGTGTTTTCACTCGTACTGTCCTCGGTTTCTACGCTGGCCAGTTCGTAGTCTTCTGACCGCCTGGCACCAGTCAGAATTCGGATCTGCTCCTGGACAGTTTCTAGCAGTATTTTCACTTCTTGCTGTTCTGCTATAAGACAATCGCTGACTGGAATACTCACATTGACAATATCAGCAGAGTAGGAGTTTTTGCACCATTTGATGCTTTTGACTTCAGAAATCCCTGGCATTTGCATGCAGGTTTCCTCTAGACCCACTGAGGGGATGATGGGCACGGAACTGGCCCTTGGGGATGAATATCCCATCAGGTCCGTTTGATCCAAGCTATTAAAATAGGAGTTTGTCTCTCTCGAAGGCAGTTGCATATTTATTGATGCATTTTGTTGGGTTGTTAAACCACTGGACGAATACCTAAAGGAGAAACAAAGTGTTACGTATTCTGTGCTCTTCCCAGCTTCTTGAGAGCACTATTCAGTCAACAAAGCACTTTCCACATGCACCATCTCACTGAATTCTCACAGCAACCCCATGAGACGGATACTATGTTCCCAGTTAAACAGAGAAGTTAACTGAAGCTCAGATAGGTGAAGTGACTTGCCCAAGGTCACACAGAAAATAAGTGACAGACTGAGACTCAAACCCAGATCTTCTTACTTTAAGTCCAGGGATCTTTCAACACACCACAGCTGTATAGGCAGGTGGGATATAGTCTTCCTGACCTCTATCCTAGAATACAAAGTAAATGGGGATTGAGCAGGTAAGTGTGGCCCTTCCATAGTGACAAACAGGAAACCCATAACGGCATTACTCCACTCCATCAACCTGACCACCCTCTCAGCCCTGGTGTAGTCCAGTGTAGACTCCTTGTGGCCACCCTAGGTGGAGGCAATCAGGAAGCCCAATATTAAGCATCAAGGTACTAAAGTCCTGAGTTTCTCTGCTTCACACTGACTTTAGGGGGACCAAATCCAATTTCCACTGGCACTCTGCTCTTTAGGAACTGCCTCACTGCCAGTTTGCTGAGCCTAAAAGATGGGATGAGAGGCACACAGTTCCTCTGTCTGCCCAAGATGAACATGAAGTGAGTTCCATAGGGCCTCGACCAAGCTAGTAACGTTCCTCACGTGGATTCTGGAGCCAAGTAAGGTAGTTCATGGGTGCATGGTAAAATGGCTTGTTGAGAACGCCATCGTGCCGTTCCAAGTGGTTTAAATATGCCAGAATCTGGCTGGCCCCCCTCTTGCTTGTTCAGAGCTAGTGAATTTTCCATTGCCTCTGAACTTTCCAGTGCCAAAAAGTGAGGCAGGGATATCGTAGGTTCACGGAAATGTAGTTTGGGGACTTGAACAGTAGTATTTATTCTATTTCTCAATTCTTTTTCCTCAATTTTAACCTTAAGCATTAAAATTTAAGCATAATCTAAACACGTTCATCCTCAATATAATAAATCTCATTCCCCTTGTCTTACACTATAATGTAAATAAAAATCATGTTTATACGTGGAAAGAATAATTGCAATGAAGTGTGTCGCATACTAAATATTAGAAACCTTTATTGTAAAGACAAGATGGGAGCAATTTAGAGATCTGTCTTTCTGCCAGACAGTGTGAAAAGATGGGGAACAAATTTAGGTGTTATTGTGTTCTACCCTCTCTTACTGAGCCTAGTACGGAGTTGGCAATCAATAAAGTTTGATTGAACGGACTCAGGAATACGTGAACAGATCTTCAAGGTAAACACTCCCTTAATATCCCAGTCAACAAGAGCTAACAAACATTCACATAGAGCTTTCAAAAAACACTTTCACCTCTAATTACCTCCACTGATGAAAAAGAAAACAAAACTGTGTGGTTTATTTATTACCACGTGATGGATAAATAAACTGGACTAAGGGATACCCAAAGGGCTTGCCCCAAATTACACCCTTGGTAAGCAGCAGAGGAAGAAGTTAAACCCACGTTGTCTTATGTTAATTGTTACTATCAAAGCCAGAAATGAGTGGGCATCTCAAACCTTTTTTGAGATGTAAAATCTTTACCTGCGCCAATTATATAGCCACATACAAAGAAATTCCCTGGGGGACCTCAGCGACTTTCTCCCTAGTGCTCTATGACTGAAAATCTGAACCTAAAGTTTCTGACCAATGAAGCAATTTCAACAAGAAGAAAGGGGACAAATTGCGGGCTTTTGTGTTCTTTCCCTAGCACCATTAACGTGTATGAAGATACAGAATGTCCGCTATCAGATTCACCAATGGCACAGAAAATTAAGGAGGATAAGATCGTCTTTCACATGGATCATCATCAGAGTGTATCAGTGAGTAGAATCTACCAGGTTGAAATGTGATGGTGATAGTGCCAATTCTTAATACCTGGATCTAAACATTATTGGTAAAAATGATGGATAAAGGTGTAAGTAAGTATCTTAGAGGATTCAGTCAATTGTTGACGCTTCAGCAAGTCCACAATGTGACACGACGTTGAAAAAATTAATAGTCTTGTTCAGGCTTCAGAGGCAACAATAGGCCTCTGACAAAACAAAGACCCTGAAGGGAGCTGCATACCGAACTGCTGGACTACATGCAGGTCAGCAGAAACGGTGCTAACAAGTCTTGGGAACCAACAGGTAAGGAAGGGAGTAAGTCACGAAGCTTCCTGGGCCTTGGGAATCTGGCCAAATCCCGGGGATCAGTGAGCATCCTGAGACTTACGACTAGAGATCAGAGCATTTATGATAATAGCCAGAGGGGCATATCTGCACGTAAGCTGATGGTTATCAGTTTGCAGCTTGGCATTAAAAGCAGGATTCCTTCGGGCTGCACTCTGAACTCTCATCCATGGAGCGGGCACAACGCCCGGGACCTTCCAACTGGGACTCCAAATTGCTGTTCAAGGGACGTCACAGCGTTGCTTGCATCTGGATGGAGGTGCTTCCCCAATTTGGTGATTGTAAATACATTTCTTTCTTACTATTTTGCTTATCTCTGTGCTATAACTAACGTAACAAGCTTTCTTCTTTCTTACTTAATTAAGTGTTGAGGGGTTACTTTGCCAACAAATCCTCCCAACTTGAAAGTGAAAGTAAGTCTTTCGGCAAAACACGTGACTACGAAGTAATCAAAGGCAATTCAAGCCAAACGTGGAGCAGTCTTCTAATATGCCTGCGTGCTGACTGAAGGAGTTGACTTACACATCATCTCACAAGCCAGGTACGGATCACATGCTGGCAACAACTGACATCTGAAAGGCTGCCCTAACATGGAGATGCACTTTAAACAATTAGTCGTGTTTGGGATCAGAGAGGATTTCAAGTCTCACCACCATTACATGCTCTGGAATCTTAGGCAAACCCAGCAGCCTTACCTTAATTCTCTCATTAATTAAAACCATCAGGTAGCAATACTGATCTAGAGGGACTGCTCTGAGGACTCACTGAAGTAATGCCTCTTCACTATTCCCTTCCTTCCTAGAGTTGCTCTGAGTGTCCTAGCACTGGTCTTTGATTAGGAGGTGATACTGCTCTCCAGAAGTTTAAGTGAGAGTTACGTTTCTAGGCATGACTCTTGATTAGAAGATACTCAGAGTTCTGTATCCCTTCAGAGTCAACGACTCTGTCACACGTTTGATCCATGAGCCTGTCATTCATTGACTGTAAAACACCAGTTTGGACCAGTTGGACTGCCTTTCCTCCAATCCCTCAACAAAGCAATCACAAGTACATTTCCTCTGTAACTATGTGCGTCAAAGCATCCTTTTAAAGAGGGAAGATTTCAACAGTTAGTCATTTGGTTTGATTCCCGGTAATTCAGGGGTCAGGCCAAGAAATCAGTGTTTCCCCAGAGGACTCCAAGACCCAGTTCTTGGTGCATATGGAATTAGAATGAACTGACTAATTTGAAGGAATCTACTTCTCCCTCTGGAGCCATACAATTAGAGATTCCATTTACACATCACCATCCATGACTGTGATTTTTCTTCACATTCCTTTCCTGGTTTATTTAGTCAGAAAGGCCGGTATTCAATCCATTTCTTTTACGTGGGCTATCCCACCTTGGGTTAAATTCTGCTATCTTTAGTGTGTTCATCTGTACCCTTCCTGAAGAATAACTGAATATAAGTTTGTAAAGTTGCTATTTAAGTGAGGTGGATAATCAGTATGTTTCGATCCCTTCTACTTTGAAGGTAGCAATCTAACTTTTGTGATTCCATCTCTTTCTGTCTAGTACATGATTCCATTAGTTTGATTTGCCCGACATAACCCAGTTCACAGTTCTGTGAGCCACTGCCATGGCTGTCATCAATCCACTGATCAGGGGAAAGGCTCTTGAAGAAGTTCCTGTCTACCTGACTCCCTCCTCAAGCTTCACTAAGTCAGGCACTGGGTTCAAGCTGGGTTGAAGTTAGTGTCGTCAAGGAGAGACATCATATACACCGGGAATCTAAGTAGCAGACAGCACCCACATGCTTGATAAACAAGCAGCAGTTGGCTCTTATAAATTCATTCACTCCCCCTCCAGCCTAGGGCCAGATTTGAAGAGGGCCTTTAGCTGTGAAATTCTATTACCAATCCCATTTCCAGTCCGGAGAGACGGTCAGTCCCCCAGGAGTGGGAAATAGCTGTTGTCAAGAATTAAGAATGAGATTGCTCCCTGAGACTCATTGTGCTGCGCACACAGTGACTTAGAGTCACCGTTTATCAACATCAGGCGCGTATCACACAGGAAAATACAGGTGGCTAGCCAATTGGAGAGAATATTCCAAACCCAACGATGATGGATCCCAAACAAAACAATAGCCGTCACAGTGCCCAACAGAAGAAAGACAGCATGGGCTGGGTTCTCTCTCCACTCACAAAATCTCTAACTTGATTTCACCTCACTCATTCTTACTCCAACGTTCACCCCAGGGGGGAAAAAAAAAAAGAAACCTAAGTAACAGACATTATTAGTGATTTCAGAAGAAAAGTAATTAGGAAACATGATTAATTATAGGCTAAATGCAAGCCCCTTTTCCAGATATAAGGCAAAGAGAAATGCAAACTACTTCTTGACTTGCATTATACATTTTGGACAACTTAGCTGTTATGTTGAATGTGTAAATCTCACCTCAGATCTTACCAAATATATTTTAGTCTATTTGGAATTGCTTCAAAATTACAAAATCCAGACACAGGCTATTCATTTCCTATCTATCTTCTAGTCTTCCTACAGAAATCTGTTGCTGAGATTCGTCAGACATGGCATTGTTGCATACGTATCACCCAGAAGAAAAGACAAAGGTAAGAGTCTGGGACAGACCTGAAACCTGCTTTGGCTTTTAACTTGCTACAGACAGGGTGGAAAAATCACCCAGCCCAAAGCAGCAAAGAAACCTAGCCTGGCTGATTCAGAGAGAGAAAAACTAGATGCAACAAGAACCTGGCTTGAGTGAGGAAATGGAATCTTGGCATTTCTGGAGTAAAGCCTGATTGCACTGCTCTTGAAATTAATAAGAATAATGGTTCCTGTGACAATAGCTACAAGTACCCCTTCTCTGTTTACCATGTGTCAGGTACAAGCTCTTGACACATGTAATTTCTTTTTAATCTGCCCAACAACCCTCAGGAAAGCTGGTATTATTCTGTTCAATTTATAGACGAGAAAATGTAAGCTCAGATGATAAAACTTTCTCAAATTCATACAAGTAGTAAGGGGCAAAGATGAGATTTGAAATTCAGTCACTTTGGATAAGGGCTGCCATACTCGGTTGAACAGCTTATGTCGGTTAGGTGAGTGGTGGCTAAAATTCATTCTACGCTCCACTCACCATGCTATGAGCCCTATGAGGGTCTGTGTCCACTGAGAGGAAGGGACACTTTTTACACTGCAAGGATGAGCAACAGCCATGGAGTCCAAAGCCAATTTTTCCATCCCTGCGCCGTGAATGAAACTGGAGATCTGAGTTCAGCTAGCTGTGCCCTGACAATACTCTGTCAACACTGACTGAGACTTGTTCAAGAATGCTCGAAGGAGCAGATGCTATATATATGTTACAGGTTATTGTTACGGTATTGTCCACAATAGTGATTAGAGAATTAAGCACTGTTTTTTTTCCAAACCTAAGGATGAAGGAACACTTTAGTTGTCCTAAGAAATCTCTGTGTTTTAAAATCAAAGACACATTCACAGTTATTATTTTAGCAACTGCAATAATAACATAGTGTCTAGATGTCTATATACTTAATGCTATATATCTTTTCCATCTACCATTTCCCTAATATCTATTTCCATTGTATCTGTTTTTTAAAGCTATTCTTTTGTGGAACAAAGGTGGAAGCAAGCATAAATAGCCAAATAATGATGAAATCAGTGAATAAAACCCCAAGGAACATAATAACTCAATTTAAAACTATATCATTCATAACACCCTCCCTAAATTCCGTTGCTTTTAAGACCTACCCTTGGCAAGGTATCGTATCCTGGTCTGGGACCCTTGATTCCTCGAGTTGCTGATATGCTGGTCCCACGATTCCGCCCAACCTACTTCGGGGTGAGGGGGGTGTCCTTCTGAAGGCATTCCTATGGAGCATACCACTCCTTTGCCCTGGGCTGCAGCAAGAGGAGAGAGTCCTGCTGGTGGAAAGAAAACCAACAAACAAATTGATCACAGCAATAACCTCACAGGTGGCTGCTGAAACTTTTCAAGCACTGCATTTCCACCCTAGATCCTCAAAGTTCTAGGTCAGGCTCCATCCATGCCTGTAGGATATATGTTAGGAGGGATCGCAGGTTGCTGGATCCATTTTATCTTTGGAGAGACTGAGAAGAAAAGCAGTTCCAGTTCTGTGTTTCTGGCTTTCCAGTCTGGAGCACAATGGACTAAAATAACACCAGCTTTCCAGCCAACGAGGTGCGCTTGAGGAATTCTCCAGCTCCTGAGTCCCCTCCTCCCTCATTATCCAAGCTACAAAAGTGCCTTTAATAGAAATAAAAATGGCCTTGTTATTAAACACTGCCAAGAACTAAACCCAAGAAGCCTTAAGGGCTTTATGGGGAAAATTTCGCTTGTGTTAGTGGTAGAATAAACTAACCTTATTTTAATTGCCTTTCTCTCCTTAATACATATGTTACTTTTGCAGTTCACTGTCTCAAATTTTCGTAAATCCTGGGAACCTAAATTATTTTTCTTTTGAGTTTGCTTTAACTGTTGTTTTTTATTGAATGAAAGATTCTTTAAACTCCATAGTGCTTTACAATTTTCAAAAGTTTCACACACGTGATTTTACATAATCCCATAATAACCCTTTGAGTTTGCTTTTAATAAACATCTGATCGTACATTTTCTTGACCCATACATCCAAATACCCAAATAACCATGCCAGATGCCATCAAAGGGCAAGGCATAAACGGGATATACCTCAGGTAAGATCCCTACACAGATCACGTCAGACAAAGACTAATTTGACGCATCACTTATTCCATATCCATTCCTCCCTCCACCCCACTGAATTTACCCTACTACCATGTGAACTGTGAGAACTTTGTTCCTGTGCAGACATTCCATGAGATGCCAACAAGGGAACTTAGAATTTTTGCGTTCCTACTCATTTAGCTCTGAAAATAGCAATAAAACCACACACAGGAACAGCAAAAACATTTTCAAAATTTCAATGAAGTTCTATAGGAACCAGTCCCCCAAATGAATTTTACCCATATTACTACATTATTTGGAGTTCTGTAAGTTCCCCCCCCCACCAACATTACTGTTATTTCCACTTAATACAAAACTTCTCCAATATTATTTAAGGTCAGAATTTGAGAACCCGACAAATGAGTGCTAGTAGCCACCTTCCTGGTTTGGGCAAGGCGAAATGATCACATTTTATAACTTCATATTCGTCAAGCCCAACATTAATTAACTTCCTGAGTTTGTGCAAACACCAGATCATACCTGGCAACGTTATTACAACTTCATTCTTCATCATAATATTTCTGGGTTGAGTGTATTGCAAGAGTCCTAACAGCAAGGGACCTCTAGTTAGGTCACTAAGCCAACGAGTTTAAGGAGCTCTATAATAACTAATTTGTTTCCCTCCCTTCCAGCTTCTATCTATACCATCCAGTGGCAATTGTGGAGTCCACAGGGTACTCAGGCTTGGATGCTAGAATTAGCTGCTTCCAGCTTCTATCTATACCATCCAGTGGCAATTGTGGAGTCCACAGGGTAGTCAGCCTTGGATGCTAGAATTAGCTGCATCAGGTCTGTATGGTACTGGGGAAAGTACTTGTATCAGTCAGAGTCCTGGGGGAAATAGATGGCACTCTATATTGGGTCATTTGGGAAGATTCTGCTATTTACAAAAGTGTGTTCACTGTTTGAGAAAAAAAAAAATACAGGATACTACTGTACATAAGGGCTGGTAACAATGGGAAGCTGGTACCATCCCTGTAACTGAAAGGACAGGGGGAAGGAGCAAGTTACCTGACTGAAGAGAGAAAGGGCTTGTGAGAAGAGGACCTCTTGGCTAGTGCCAGAAACAGGGCTGTAGCTGAGAGAACCAGGCAGGGAGGGCGGGGGCAGAAGTGTTAGGACCTCACTGGCCTCTGCCCTTCCATAGCTTTCCTGTGCATCGCAAGAAACCAACAGAAGCCCAAAGGCAAGTGAGCCTGCTGCCCTCTTAGTGTACAAGGCAAGGCAGAAAAAGGTAAAGCCTAGAGGTGGGTGGAAGAGATGCAAATAAAGGTATTAGCACTTGTTTAGGTATTTTCATAGTATTGCTATGGGGATTAAAAAAGTATGTAAAGTGCTTAGCAGGGAGTCTGGCACTTAGTAGCTGCTCAACAAAGTAAATTCCCTTGATTCCTCTGCCCAAACTGACAACTCAAAGGCTCATACTAATCACTGAAAACCCTGGACTTATTTCACCTTAAAAAAACCTACATGTACTGTCTATAAATGAGTTATATTGCCAAAATATAATGTAATAAGTATAACATGACGTAATAGATTTCTTCTTTAAAAAGAAAGAGGGTTTTTTTTTGACTAAACATGAGAAATAATGGCTTTGAATTAACAGCTTTGTTTCACAAATGAGTTATCCAAATGAGTCATATTTGCAGTGCACAAAAGAAATGAATTATTCATAAAAGTCTACCAGTATGAGCTAGTAACCCATCTTAAAAAACAGTTCTATACCTATTGATCAATCAACTGTTCAAGCTTTCTAACCCAATGGCATTCAGGAAGTTACACAGCAGTTTGCAGGATGTATAAATCAGTGACTAGGTTATCAATCACGAAAACGTTTAAGTCTACTGCATGTTTTACAAAACAAAAGCTATGATATATTGAACTATAATTTACAAAGCTCTAAAAGCACTTTATAAATCAACCCTTGCCTATCTATCAGGACGCAGTGTATGCCAACAAATACTGCAATGTCATTGAACCAAATAAAAAAGAAGGTCTCTTAGAGACTTCCTTATTTGATCTGTGAGTGATTCCTAGAAACCACAGTAGAAACCAAGTTTAGGAGGAGGTATATCAACAGACAAAAGTAGGGTAGGGTATTTGTAGGTCAAATACATTAGAAGCTATAATTGCTTATCATATCAACTTTAAAACATGTACCACAATATAGTACTTAATATTATACTTAATTATTTTACTTGACTGAATGGAATACACGTTAAAGTGGTATTCCAATCAGCAGAGGAAAATGCTCTTTTGGAAAAAAAACATCTATAATTTTGTACTTAATTCCGTAATTGAAGAACGTCCACTAGGTCCAGTTAACTGAAGTAATCTTTTCGCAAGGAAATATTTGTAAATGCCCCAATTGATATAAACCAAAAATTGTAGTTAATAACTAAAGCAGTTATCCAGTAGCCAAACATACTTCATCCTGTGTTGAAACCTTTTTTTAACTTAGCAAACCCTTGGTACCTCAGTCTCTACCCATGTAGATTAAGAATAAAAATCACCATCAAGTACTAATGATTGGTATCAAGAGTGACATGAAAACCTCACAGTAAATGTGGCCAGCATCAAGAAAATCTTTTTTAGGGACTCCCTGAAAGGTGAGGGAGAAGTTAGTTTCCTTGAATAATGCATACTTCTCTCACGGTGGTTTTCAAAATATTGCCTACATGTATGAAAAATTGCCTACACATATGAAAACCAAGGGTCAACAACATTTATCTTCCATTGCTGGGAACAACTGTTATTTTTTACCGTTTCCATTTAAAAAACTTTTAATCTCCATAATTAAGTATTTTTAAAATACTGTACCTCTTACTAAGAAAAGGAAGCTTAAATCTTTGGACGGCTTCCACAAAGACTGACGACATATCAATACTTTTGGATGCACATAAACATAATGTCTGTTGTAGCAAGTATCAAATGTTGGCACTTTAGAACAAAACTTTCAATTTTTGGAGTTCCAGATTCCTTATGTATAAACACAGCATGTGACTAGAAGATGCTGAAGAATTTGCTCAGCCTCAGAATGCTGTAAAACTTCTATAAGATAACTTTGTTTTTGGCTTTCTCCCCCAAAGAGCCATTTTTTACAGTCAGCTTGTTAAAAAAAAGTCCCACTCCATTGATAATGGAAGATCTAATAAACCAAAGGAGAGAAAGTTTTCTTTGTGTGAGAGCCATGTTGGAAGACCTGGAGCATGTCCTATCAGCTGCCTAGGGAAGAATTAGTCATTAAATTTGCAGACAGTGATAAGGCAGGCTAGGAAAAATCATGTTTTTAAGATTGCAATAGTTTCATTCACTGGTCTGTGTCTGCAGACTTGATGGGTGCTGTTAATAGTACCTTTAGGCTTCCTCTAGGGGCACTGCTGCCTGCTGGTATCTTTGCTTTGCCTGCCAGGAGCTGCTTGAGCATCCACTGCATGGGGAACTACAGGAGAAGCAAGAACGATCATCTCTCCTGAATAATGTTGTCATTCCTCGGCATGTGTTGTCCAGTGTTATACATTGTGTCAACGCACCCGTTCCCACCATGATTAGCTACCTGTACCTGTGGTGTTTGACAGATTGGCTTCCTCTGTTGGGAGAAGGGACCTCTGGGAATGATTGGGGGCCGGCAAAACTTGACTCCATCATTTTCTCCAATGCAGTCACGGGATGCCTTTCCGCCTTTGAATACTGTGGGAAATCACATGCACAGAGTTGAGCTGGAGGAGAAGTTATGAGAGCAGGGCCTCTGACACTACAGCTGGGTATCAAAAAGTTACTGGAACTCACCAGTAACTTTTCCACTGGGCACCTGATCAGGAGAATGACAAAAACACCATTTTCATCCCATTTCTCACACACTGAATATGCTCTCCCCTCTTGCCCCCCAAAGCTCTTTGTGATTAGATAAGGTCCATTCAACAGGGTTCTTCACGTTAGAATGCTAAGTCTATCTTTTCGTTTCAGTCTTTACCCATGGCACACTATGCCTGAGAGCCAAAATCACACATATTTTTTTATTGGAGTATAGTTGATATACAATATTATATAAGCTAATACAAGGAATTTTTAATTCAATGCACATTTTACAAAAAAAATTAGTAGATGGACCACTAAAAATAGGGATTCAATAAATGCTAATTGAGTGAACTTCACAAGTCTCAGATTTATGGAAGGCTTTGATTTAGAGTATCTGCCCACTACTCTCCACTGTTTCTCTCTTTCAGCCTGATACCAGGTAATTACCACGTCTAATAAGAGAAGTGTGTGAACAGTTTACTCTTTATAGTTATTAACCCTTGGTTTCACCTTTGACTATGAGATATCACAAGGCAGGGGCCTAAAGAAAACCCTATAGCTATGGCATATTGAGAAAAACTTTGCTCCCAGAGAAATATCACATGGCATCTCAATTAGGCAGCAGTTGTCAAGTTTAACACTCCCTGGACACTTGGCACTTGAACAAGCAACAAGGATCATCAAGTTTCTTTTCTAGAAACTCCAATGAAAACTATGCTGAGAAATGACATTTTTTGAAGGCTAATGACCAAATTAGATTTTGAAATCCAGATATTCACATGTAATATATGAACAAGAATTTCACAGAAAAACAAAGATAGATATGCAGAATACACACAAAAAAGTATATACCTGAACTCATTGTAGAGATGAAAATCAGAATAGAGAACGTTAAATTTCAGGAGTACTTAGTTAAAGGCAAAGGTTCAAGGAAAATAGAGTTGGTGCTAATTTGTTGGGGGTACACATTGGCAATGTGTTGCAAAATACTAAATATAGGTACTCTGCTGCAGAGTACTACTTCTAGGGATTTCCATCATTAATTGTAAAAGTTGGAAATGATATAATCAGCAAAGTATGTCAGTGGTACAATTTTTAATAACAAAAAAACACAAAAGAGAAGCAACTGGAAACAACAGAAATGGCCACAAATGAATATTATAAAGCCATTGAATAAAATCAAAGTATGCAAAGTATGCATAATGTGAATCCACATGTGCAAATAAGGAAAATGCAGTAAACATGTATATATAAGTGTGTGTATGTGTGTATATATACAAACATTTAGCTTTGTGTGTGTATATATATGTATAGATTTTGTATGTACATATACATATGTTTGTGCATGTGTTTGTGTGCGTGTGTGTGTGTGCACACAACCACATGGGATGCAGATGGGAAACAAAAGTAAACTATAACTAGGTGTTATCCTTGGGAAAAAGTATATTGGTGGGTATGGGCTATGGAGACTAGGAATATTGTCAAGGTTATGTAACTTTAAGTTCAAAATCTCTAACTAATTGTTTTCTTTTTAAGTACTTCCCAAACAAACCACATAGTGTTAGTAATGACCACATCTTGAATCAGAATATGAATTCTACAAAATGGACTTAACAGAAACTATTTAGACTTCTTGCAAAATGGAGTGAGTTGACATGGAACAAAAAGAAGACATGGAGATAATTTGGAAAAGGTGGTTGTTTTCAACAGCCCCAAGTTACAAAGATCCAAAAAATGATGGAGATACCTTCACATGTACTTCTTTGTTGACTAATTAAGTTGTTTATCATAAATCATCCATGGAAAAAGTGAATTGAATCAACATGCTACTGAAATGTAAACAACATCCTGAATTTCTATTTCTAGACTTCCAGGTTCTATAAAAGATCTACTAGAATTTTTTTTTTTTTCTCCCAACTTTTGATAAATTGCTTGAGAAGACAAACTCAGATGGTTGGAAGCCTCAGCTATAGACACAGGCGAGATTATCTGGAGACATCTGTGGCAAATTGGAGGGGGTAACTTCTGTGCTACTTCTGCAGAGGGCTATCAGTGGGTGACATCAGCCAGTGTTTCCAGCACACCCACATTTTCTAGAGAAATTGCCAAATCATTAAAAGTCAGCAGCCCATTCCTTTTTCAAAAACAATGTATGTCAAAAAGCCTAGTTCAGGGCTTCCCTGGTGGCGCAGTGGTTGAGAGTCCACCTGCCGATGCAGGGGACACGGGCTCGTGCCCCGGTCCGGGAAGATCCCACATGCCGCGGAGCGGCTGGGCCCGTGAGCCATGGCCGCTGAGTCTGCGCGTCCAGAGCCTGTGCTCCGCAACGGGAGAGGCCACAGCAATGAGAGGCCCGCGTACCGCAAAAAACCCAAAACAAACAAACAAACAAAAAAGCCTAGTTCAGCTTTGGGGCCATTGGTTCAGAGCCTCTGCTTTGAATGAGACTTTTGATCATGAGAGCTAGAGGGCCTTGTTCAAAATCTGGGATAAAAGTCTTGAATAGAATCAACCTCTTACTTGTTCTGCTTATTCATGGCGTTCATAATAGATATAATGTTCTAAATCTTTTCTTTCAAATGCTTAGATTATTATTATACTATGCAGTTGCTTTCACTGGTATTATTGTGGTCCATTAACAAAAATTTGTCTCCAAAATGTATTATTTTGGACTTTTCTCTCATAGCCTTTTTGAGAATCGTTTTCATTTCAGTGGCTACATTTAATCTGAGATGCAGGTTTAAATTGCTGGTACCCCAATCCAAGGTTAGTTGAGACAAGTGGGAACACAAAAAAACCTAATAGTTTGGCAATCCTTCAAACTAATATCCCATACATATTGGCTCAAATGAATTTAGACATAGATTCCAGTTTTCAGATCTGACAAATAAAGAGCTTAGAAATCGTCATTCCTGTCCTTAAAATAAGAGAAAAGCTGAACAAACAAAATCAATGGCTATTCTTACATCCAAATTGAGGTTGCAGGGCAAACCACCCCTCTAAAACCTGGAAAGACAAGTGAATACAGAGAATCAGCCAAGATCACCTTGAGACAGCCTGGGAGCCTTTGCTGCAGTGCCTGCACCTGGACAAATGCCTCCTCCAGCAACAGAATACAAAGTATCTATTCAGGACTAACAATAACCTCGTGCATGCTCAGTTGGGGCAAATTATGAACGACAAGACACAAAACACCAAAAACCAAACTGTCACTTCTGAGATGCCCGGAGCAAAAGCAGGGTACTGCACATGCGCCCTGCACACAGCATCACCAAGGGGGTGGGCAGACCACCTAAGCCGACCCCTGGACCCGCCCCTACCTTCACTCCATACAAGGAACCAGCTCGCCCCAGCTCAGGGAGCGAGCAAGGGAAACTGTTACTTGTTCTCACTCCCTCCTGCTGCAGCACTGAGTCCCAGTAAAGCCTTGCCAGAATTTCTCGTCTGGCCTCTTATCAATTTCTATTAAGGAGGCCAAGAATCCTGGTCAGTAACATACTTTGTTGTGACTCTGCCGGCACATTCTTCCATTCCCGGGTGGGGATCTGGGCACCTCCGGGACCACCGACCACCGAATGCAGCTTCCCAGTGGGTGACAGGCGGCCACCTGAACCTCTTGTTTCAGCGTCACCACGTTTGGTAAGTCTGCCTTCCTGGCCCCTGAGGGCCTCAGTACCCTCATTCAGGCGACGCTTGTCCCCCTCCCCTTTGCCCTTTTTCCCTCAACACTTTCCCTCTCCTGAAATCTCTCTACTTCTTTCTCTGTCCTCTCCTACTTCTCTGTCTTATCCTCCCGCGACAGTAGACGTCGGGCAGCTACAGCATCATTGTTCTCAGCTTGTGAGACCTGCTCCCTCTGGCCGGCGACAGCTCACCTTGACAGGTCACAAGCAGAGGTGGGAGAGGCTCGCCTCACACCAAGCAGACCTTGGTCCAGTGGGCCTTCCCTGATGGGAGATACATGAGAGTGACAGAGGTTCAATCCTCCTATCACGTAGTGGCTGGACGTCCGATCCTCCCAATATTCTCACCTTTCTTTTCCTCTGCCAAGAGAACTCTCATTGGGAACAGGCTGAAGCGGCAGATTTCTATATACCGGTGTACGTGTGGGTGAGAGTCCCACCTGTGGGTTGGCGACCCGCAGACGATGTACAACTGGCTGGTTTCGGGGCTTGATCACCTGGTGGGCAGTGGACAGGGTGCTCCCTCCTTCACTGGCCCTTTCTGGAAGTGCACAGGCTGGTGCCTGAATAGACACCCTCGGGGGGCAGGCTGAAAAGGCAATCTCTTCCTGTCTCTTTTTTTTCAGTCTTTTCTGTCCCTTCTCTCCTGTCCTCTCCCTTGGTCCTCATTACCTATACTCCCATCCCCTTCATCCTAGAGACTCCTTGTCTGTGTCACTCACTCTGGGGAGGGAATTCTGTGATCTCCTTTGTCGTTACACTAGACCTCGACTCCATCCGGCCCCCAGGATCTCTAGTTGTTAGCTTCCAGATTTATATGTAAGCATGGGAGATGCCCAGGGAATCCCCAGAGATTCTCCTCTGGGTTGCAGTCTTAACAATTGGAGACAGTAAAGAACTAAGCTGATTTTCTTTTGCAACACGGCCTGGTTCCCATATACCTTGGGTGACCAGGAGAAGTGGCCATGGAATGGATCCCTTAAATTTAACACCATTTTACAACTGGACCTAATTTGTAAGCAGTCTTAAAAATGGGGAGAGGTCCCATATGTGTAGGCCCATACGTGTAGACTCCAGACTGAGGGATTCCTGTGGTTTATATGTAGCCTCTCTTCCTGTGTTGCCCCCAAAAGATTCAGAGCCAGGCGTTCTCACCCCTTCTTTCAACTGCCGACTAGCCATCGGGGTACTAAGCCTCCTTCTCAGACC